ATATATAATGCTATTATAAGCTGGGACCAGACTAAACTGTGCATTTAAAGAGATTTTACATAGAGGGTGCATTTATAAAGAGTGCATTTAGAGAGGTCTCTCTGTAGTTGTCTAATAAAATTATCAATCGATTAATTGCCAATTCGATTAATTAATCGATTATGTTTTAATATTTTTCATACTCTTGCTGTAAATACAAGAGGGTAAATCTGTTAAGGCGCAATACTCAATTTCTTTCAAGAGCTAGAAGGCATGCATTCTATAACTCTTCACCATAGTATAAACTATAGCAGCGTACTGGTTAAAGAACGAAAGACTTAAATTATCCGCTAGAGTTCGTATAAGACCCACCCGTTGGCCACTGCATACAGTACTATTCAAGAACTTCATTTTTTAAAATTGAATAGTACCCGTGGATACTGTATGAAGAACCGGATACTATATTTAAGGAAATATCATATTAGATAAAAGTAAATCAATATAGTTATACCCCTAGGTCTTATTCGAGAAACAGGATGATAGGGATGGTAAATAATACTCGGGTCTTAATCATGGAAGTATTATTTTTGGGGGATACTGTATACATTAGTCAACGGTACCTAGAAAAATAAAGATGGCTTAAATGAGACACAGTGCTGCAGTCATTTAACATACTTCTACAATATTTTTTTTTTGTGAATTTATTTTACTTCTAATGATAATTTATTTTCTGTGTACAATGGATGCAAAGTATTTTCAATATAATTACTAAATGTTGAATAGGGTGTACCATAAAAATGAAATCCTTTTGCTGAAATCATAGCATCTAATACAGAAATAAGATAATTAGCTAAGGGGGTTTTGTCTTCTGCATTTCTAACACCTTTCAATTCAATCAGTTCATGACTAAAATCATCCAAGACAAATACACAAGGAAAAGTATTAAAAAATTTGAATAGTAACGGATTGGTACGTGGAGATTCAGCATCTGTGGCAATATAAATAACAGTGTTAACGCCTTTATCTGTCGGATGGAGTGATTTTCGACATTTTACTTCCTTCAGCATGGTTTGATTAACAACTTTTTGGTATGGGCGTTTAATAATACTTAAATTGCGAGAATTGTCTTTACCCAAATCCACAATATCACCAACTAAGATATCACGATCATGAGTGCCACCTTCGAAAATGTCAACTTCTTGTGATGAAAGATTCGTAAATGTGTCAATGATTTGATGATATATATTATCGATGTTTGGCCTAGCAAACTTCATAAAAAAACCATCGGATGAACGTATATGAATTCCTATAAAATTTTTATCGCCACCTAATTGTTTTATAATACGTTTCGCAGTATGTTGAATGAGCGAATTATTTGGAACAAGATGTTTTCGAATAAAAGTAGCATAATCCAAGCTGGTAGGCAACTCAGGTACCACACGAAATGGACCATATAGAGAACCAAAATGGATCACTTTTTGATCAATCGCAAGCAAATTGTCAATTTTCAAATTTCTCAAATACGTAGTATAAGGAATTTTACTATTAGGGATCTCATAAATACGATAGTCGTATAAAGTGGTGTCTTTTATGAAATAAATATCATTTTCTTGATTTATATTGAGATTCTTTTCAAGCCATTCGTAGGTATGTTCCTGTCTATCTATAATCTTATGCCATTTCCTGATCGCATCCATATCAGTTAAGAAATCCCAAGATATAGTAGTGTAGGAAAAATAATCGAGACATTCAGTTGGTAAAGGATAATTTTCCGAAATAGATTTACAATGTTCTAAACCAGTTTTTGTGGACATGAACAAACGTAGGTACAACTTGTCGAAACGTCCCCATGGAAGTGGTCGGCCAAGCATTATAGGAGGTAGTAATAATGTACGGTTGAGAAGTTTCGCAAGCAATAAAGCATTTTCTAAAGCCATACGTTGATTATGATATCCGCTATGGGGAAAGTATGCGAGGAACTTTTCATCAGGACTAATAGTATATTCTTTATGTTTAAACACATCGATATCTTTGTACTCAGGTGTATGACGTGAGTCAGGATCTATGGATATTACATTTGAAGGTTTGTACAAGAAAAATACAATTACAAGTAGACATAGGCTCAAAAAAAAGACGAAGCGAATCCTGAATTTTAGGATTGCTGGCATGACGATAATTAAAAGAACCTTTTTTTTCTTATTATGTATTTAAAATAGGTGATTATGATCATCATATATTTAAAACTCAGACTTAACTATTCGAGGCTTAATCATCCTCGAAGAAAAAATGAACTACCATTCCTAATGTCGATCAAACGTATGTAATCAATCGATCAATATTTTCGTCGGTGTAAATCAAACTTATTAGTACTAAGTCCACACGGGTTAATTTTTTTACTATATATTGTTATTGCAATATTGCTAACGTCTTATTACAGTATTACAGCAAATGACAGGTTATTCTTAAAATAGCGTTGATTGAACTATAATTTGAAAATTTTATCTTAGGAATAACAATATAGGTCTGTAGAATGCAAAAATGAAAATACCTAAGGCCATATAAAATTTATGAATTGGCTTCATAACGCGGCCGGGTCATAAAAGCTAATTGTGAAATATTTTATAGATTATTAATATGTCACTGGAAGGCCACTGGAAGGTCACTGGAAGTTAAATCAATAGTGCCACTGGAACTTTAAGTTCCAGTGACACTATTAATTTTCTTCCAGTGGCCTTCTAGTGACCTTCTAGTGATCTTCCAGTGACAACACTGTTATATCATGCTTCAATAGAAGTCTTTCGGCGTTGAATAGTGTTATTTTCGATTGTGACAATGTCCAAAGATAGTTATGCGCCAGAAAATTATTCCCTTAACAACGCCTCTCATATAATTTTAAAGTCCAATATTATCGAAATTTCGATATCAAGGCTCTTAAAAATCAACAGCATGCTTGAAATAGAACTATTTCGTTTGTGATAGGTCACTGGTAAATCTCCTCTGTGAATTAGTATTTTTTAAGTTTATTGTTTTTCAAATAATTACTTTCACGTTCTAATAAATTCTTCACTGTGTGATCCTGTAATACCTTCTACATATTATCAATAGATTCGTTTTTCACCTAAAATTTTTTTTTCAAGTTTATTATTAATTTAAATTTATGCTAACTATATTTACATGCCATTATAAATCTTCATTCACGAATCTCTTTCTGAAGCTTTTTGTTATTAATCGAACTACATAACATTAAACAACTTATATAAAGAAAACTTTTACCTGAATTACTTTTTCTATAAAATTGATTTATGTTATTTTTTTACTTCAAAACTATCTCCTATTTATTACTGGATTCAAGCCAACGAATTGCGGCCTTTCGATTTGATAGCACTTGTTTATCGTCGAAGCCAGTGATTATTTTTCATGTGCGGACTGTGCGTAGCACACAAAAACAAATTGTGCGACATTTTTTTTTGAATAAATGTGCGGACACCATACAGAAAAAATTGACATTTTGTAAATAGTGCGCACAGTTGCAAATAGTTTCTCGTGGTTTTTTTTTTTTATTTGTGCACAGAAAAGGGTCTATATATTTTACACATTCGTGTTCTTCAACCTATGATAAATAACGGGGTATAGAAATTTTGTACTGTACGAAAATTCTTTTGTACTGTACAGTACGCAATTATAAAATTATTTAGACGTTCGTACGTACTGCACAGTACAAAAGAATTAAAATAGATGATCGTGAACTAGGTTCACGATACTATATGAAAGCATTTAAGAGCATTAATGAACAACTAAATAGTATCGATATCAGTTATAAATTACAGTATATAAAAAAAAATCG